TTGTCCTCTCTATCACACTCAAAAGGATAACATTTGTTAAGTGATAAAACCACATTTTGCTTTGAGCAGGTTTGTGGGAAGTCTCCCATGAAAAATATGCCAAAAGAAGTGTTTCACTCTTTTAAAGATTGGTCGGTGCCACATTTTCATCCAGAGAGGTTCTTGTAGTAGTGGTGTTGAAATTTTGCAAGTAGTTATAGGCCGCCTTCATACTAAATCGTCCATTTGAGGATGATCTCCAAACAAACAAATCATCCCTTCCCTCACGTGGCGGGTTTAACATTATAATTTTTTAAATCACCCAATTAGGAAAGTACTGAGTCCATTCCTCAACATTCCAATTACCATTGGATAGAACAAAATGATTCACAGTTACCTCTCTGTGTAACAAAGAAGGATTCTGAGATGTATAGTACACAAGTGGTTCTTAGAGTGGAGTCCATAAGTCCCACCAAAATCTTATAGTTCTGCCATTATTGACTTTCTTTCCCACTCCTTCCATAAAGGTATCCCAAACTAAGACAATACTGTTTTAGACCATTAATGCCTTCTTTTTCTTTACAACCTTTAAAAGGTCCCTTTCTCCACATTTATATTTCATTCTACGGCATTTGACCTAAAAAGCCTCTGGATTTGTTATCAAATTCTAGCATAATTTCATAATAAATGCCCAATTTTGCTTATGAAGGTCTTTGAAATTGAGGCCGCCAGTTTCCTTATTTTGCTTTATGGTTGCCTAAGCCACTAGATGAATTTTCCTCCCTTCCTGTCCTTGATTCTAGTAAAAGGTTCTGCTAGCTTTCTCAATATCATTTAGGATACCTTTTAGGATGAGCATGGCTTGCATTTGATAGTTAGGGATGGCGCTAATAATAAAATTAATGAAGACAGCCTGTCCTGTTAGGGAGAGATATCGCCCTTTCCAAGTAGATAACTTCTTCTGCACTCTCTAAAGGATTAGTCTAAAAGTTGTTGTTGAGACTCTATGATGAATCAATGGTACCCTCAGGTATTTACTAAGGTTTGCTGTTAAGCCAATCCCTCATAAATCACTCAATTCTTTTGCATGATTGAAGTGAATATTTTTTGAGAAAAGGACCTTGGATTTGTTCAAATTGATCTTATGCAAAGATGCCTTGCAAAAAGTATTCATTATATCGTGCAAGATCTCGATTTGAGTCTGAGAGGATTCAACAAATAAAAATAAATTATTGATAAATAATAAGTGTGATATGTTTGGCCCCTTAGAACTCAATTTGAAATGTCTCCATTTTTTGTCCTTTATCTTTTTTTTGATCAAATGCCCTAGTCTTTCCATGCATAAAACAAAGAGATATGGATTGAATGGGTCCCCTTGTCAGACTCCACGTGTTGTGATTAAGACTTTTATGGTAACCAGAGATACACATGCTGTGATTAATCTGATGAAATCTTGTTGTAGCCTGACACTATGGAGGGTCTCTTCAATCAAGTCTATCATAGGCCTTTTCCATATCTACTTTTATTGCCATATACCCTTTGCTGTCCTTCTTGTTTCACATCGTTATTACATTATCACGACCTTGGTGTCCCATAATAAAGCTGCATTATTTGGGGAGATGATTTTATTCATTACACTCTTCAACCTGTTAGCAATGATCTTGGTTATAGCTTTGAAACTAACATTGTATAATGATATTGGTCTAAACTCTTTGAGTCATGTTGGATGTTCAGCCTTAGGAATTAGTATGATATTTGTGTGGTTGATATCCTTGATCTTTGAGGGACTGGAGAATACCTCCTTAACAAGATCAAAGTTTTTGCTACCCACTGACTTCCATTGACTTTGGAAGAAATGTGCTTGTAAACTATCTAGTCGTGAAGCCTCGAAAGCCCCCATACAAAATGCAACATTCTTGATCTCCATAGCTGTTAGTCCATCTTGAATATAACAAATTTCATTATCATCAAGAGTGGGAAAGTCATTTGGCCAAACAGTGTCCCTTTGCACATTTAGGTCACTAGAATAAAGGTTTTTATAAAAATCACAGGCCATCCTTTTAAGCTATTCTTTATCCACAATCCAATTCCCTAGGTCATCTTATAGAGCCTCTATATTACCTCTCTTGCATTTCATTACAATAGTAGCATGGAAGTACTTGGTATTTTTGTCTTCCCACTAGAGCCAATTACACCTAGATTTCTGGTACCATATCATTTCCTCTTGTGCCAATAATTTCTGATAATTTTACCACAATTGCTTTTCAAGCCTGAATAATCCCTGGTGATTACAAGATTGTCACTTCTTGTCGATCCCTTTGATTCCTTTAAGAGTCTCATTTTTATGGTTTAGGATGCTGCCAACTTGTTTTTCATTCCAATCAGAGGCAACATTGTTGAAATTAATTGCCCTATCTGTCTAATCTCTGTTCTCCCATATTGCCTTCACCATATCTGAAAACCCATCTTCAAGAGCCTAGGCTGCTTGATACATAAAGCATTTTTGCCTTCTGCTCCTCATAAAGTATGTACTATCAGAGACTACTAGTAGCCGATAATCTAATTTATATTTGAGACCATGAAAGACCTTGAAATGTGGCTGTAATTCTCAAAAGGTCCAATCTAATCTTTCTCTAACCTCTTTTTTTTCCCAAGTGAAGCGATCTCCCACAAAAGGTACTTTGATGAGGTTAGAATCAATGATACAGTTTTGAAACTGAGACATAGATTGTAGCAAAGGAGGTGTACCTCCATATTTATCCGAAAGGTTCAAAAAGCAGTTGAAATCCCCAATTACTAACTATGCTTCCTGACTTAAGTCTCTCAAAAGTGAAACAAGAATTTTCCACAATTCTTTGTGTTTATTTGTTTGTGTTTCCCCATACATAAATGTAACAAAAGATGTTTGAAGAGATATCAATTCAGTGATTTTACAGTGAAGAGTTTGGGTAGAGGATCCAACATAATCAACCTTAATTACATTAGCATTCCAAAGGACCCAAATCCCTCCAGTATATCCTGTGGCTTCAACCCTTATCCAATGATCAAAATCCAATTTTCTCACAACCTTTTCTGCTTGGGTTCCATTAATTCGAGGTTCAGCTAGACAGAGAACATCAATGTGAAAGGTACTAACCAAATGATGAATGATAGCAGAAAGAGAATGACTCCCGACACCGTGACAATTCCATGAAGCAACAATCATTAAAGATAAATGGATAGTGATTATTGCGTTGACCTTAGTCTAAAGGGTCATCGCAGAATTCCATTACCATGCATCTTGTCTGGCAAATTCATTGCCATCATTTCTTGTGAGGCTACCTTCTCTTCTGTGTCTCCACCACAACTTCAATATCCGATGGTTTTGGCGATAGATTGCAATTCCCATGTGGAGGTTGAATCAGCTGCACTGACGATGGCGGGGGAGTGCGATGAGAATTGCTTTGTAGCTTGTGTGAATGTGGAGTAATAGCTAGCCGTCCCTCAATCGGATGGAGGGTTGTTGGTTCTGAATGGTTAATATTACCACTGACAACCACAAGGTTTCTTTGCCCATTCCTTGTATTTGGGCAGAGCATGTATAATTGGGTGAGTTGGAAGAGAATAGAAACAGCTTTGCACCAACCAACCTATGGTTCTCGTTTTGCTTGTTTTTATCAGTGTCTAATTTTTGTTAAAATGTAGATTTGGAGATCTAGAAGCTGGCTGGGTCAGTGGTTCATTGGTGGTGGCAAATATGAAATAACCCACCTCTGTTGCTTCGCCCGACTCGGACGATTGAGCTTTTAACTTCACTGGTGGCTTATCTCTTCTTGTTCCTTGTACTTTTCTCAAGTGAGGTGGCAACCACAACCAGTCTTCCATTGCTCTTTAATTAAATTCGTCCGAGTATCTGCCGCACTTCTTGTTATAGAAAAATGAGTTTGGTTTTGCTATACTAGCAATTGCTTGCTATTGGTGTTTCGACTAGACAAGGGTTGTCACGGATTTTACTTTCATTTGCCATTAATGGTAATGTTTTTCGACATTAGTTTCTATTTGTTCATTTCTCTCCGTCTCCCATTTCTGAGACATCATACAAAATTGTAACTTAAAAGAATCAAAATTCTTATCATGAAATGAGATGTAGGTAGCGCGTGTGGAGTCGTTGTTTCTTCTCACTTTACATTTTGTTGTCAATATTTTTTGTTTATTTTGAGAGCATATAACAAGTATATTATGAAAATTTAGGTCAACCCGCCAAGTTGACACAGTAAACTATTAAACCAATGTTTTAATTTATTTAATAACTTTTCTTGTCTATGACTATAGTTTGATTATGATTTAACCATTAATCTTTGAATCAGTGTTTTAATTAGTCCAGTTTTTAGGAGCTTGATAACAAGTGTTTAGTTTAAGATGGTAGAAATTCATACAATTGAAGTCGGGGAAGAGGAAGACCGCGTGCACCTACTTGTTTTCCCCCTCTTTAGGCATAAGTCTGCTACCTGCTTGGATCAGCTGTGTGGCTGGGGATTAAGCCAAAACCATGTAGTTAAGCAGTTTTCCTTGTTTGGCTATTCGGTCTAATACCAACACAATATGACCAACTGTGGGGAATGAGAAGAACCTCCAAGAACTGACGTTGACTCCGTTTGCAGATACCTTTTAATTTTCCGTTCGCATTCCTCTTCCTTCCATTAATTTCTCTTCCTACCTTCAACATCGACACTTTTTTATCACCCAGCTTGCCTCTTTTGACCACCTTTTCAAATATAGTACTCAGGCCGGAGTTTATTGTACATTTTCAACCGCATGACACCACTCTATTCACCTTTTTCTTCATGATAAATACAGCATTCACGTCCATATTCATTTAAAAAAGTAAACAGCATAAGAATTGGATTCATGTCCATAAAAAGAGCTGTATATACGCCCGGGGATTTGATTTAAGACATCAATAACATCTAAGATTTCGTGTGCAAGGAAAGTAACACGCATTGATATTAAGGAACCGTATTCATAAGTGATTAATTGGCTTATATAATATATATGGCACTTTTTGTTGATACCAAATTTCCAATACAAGAACACACATGATGATTCATGAGGCAGTTATGTACGTGATCTGAAACCAAATGAAACGTGCACGGGATTAATCCTAAAAACAGAATTCTAGGCAGCTGCACCTAAGAAAATATAAATAAAGAAAGGGCAAAGCTCGCAGGGATAGAAGCTATGGTGCGAGGCACTTGGAGCGATGCCTATCGGAACGATTGTTTGTGATGGCACAGCAGCCCAAGAAGTAGATGACGATGAGCACCAACAGCACGCACGTGTTGATTATGGCCACTCGTCTCCATTGCTTCCTTATGTTGGCCAGCACTCCTCCTTTGCACGAATTGCAATCGTAGCACAGCTTGTCTTCTTCGTTGCTCCACGTATTACAGTCCGCGTCGGTCGCCGCCGCACCCGCCTTTGGCGCCTCCCAGTACGTTACGTTTATCATTGTGAATCCACACGCTGCCGGCGGCTTGCAGCACCCCGTCTGCAAAATCACGCCGTTTATTTATAACGCCAAATCCCTCGATTTACAAACAGATATAAATATGACGAGTCATTAACAGCAAAAAGTGTATAACCTGCATCGTCGTTAGTTGTTTGTAGATGAGAGATTTGCCCGCAACGGCGAGATTCCGGCACACGTGGGTGTCCATCAGGCAACTCTTGATCTCAGCCCAGTTCTTGTCGTTCAGCACATACCTCTGCAAATAGTTATGAAAATCCCATGTCTTGTACTCCTTATACCCTTGGCCGGACACCTTCTGGCCCACCTTCTGGTTGGTTATCAACAGCACGAAGATGGTGAAAGCGATGAGCGCTATAATCAAGCAGAAGGTGACGAAGAGGTAGACGTACAGAAGCAGATTGAGCCTGCATAAAGAGCCGGCAATTCCCAGCACGGAGAGGACGGTGATGAAAACGCCGCCCACCAACAGCGGCAACTGCAGAACTTTCTGGCAATCGGAGGCCTGGCCGCCTCGGACGTGGATGAAGATGGAGAAGCCGATGGAGACGACGCCGAGGAGGAGAGTGAGAATGTTGACGGCACCAACGAGGGTGTTGCTGACGCGAAACATGGCGAGGCGAATGGAGAGAATCAGAAGAGAAGGGTAATGCGGGAGTGAGGAATATGAATGGTAACTGTCATGGCTGGGGTAAAATTGTAATTTTGATTGGGCAGTTGGAGCCACATCCAGGATGACCGTTACTGGGCACACGCACGTCCCAAGGTCGTTATAAATTGCAGTTACTAGTACGGTTTCTTCCTGGAGATCGAAGATGGCTACTTTGAATCCAAATTAACTCCGATCGAGATACGTGCACTGTATTACGAGCCTTGAGCCTTGAGGTGTGAGTGTGAGGACGCAAGGCAACAACGGAGAGCCAGTACTGCCAGTGACGTGATGAATTGGGTTATACGACCATTAGCACTAAATTTAGTGCCATTTTAACATGTACGTCTGTTATGGGATTACGATCATGTGGATGTTATTTTCTGCAAGCTAAGACTCAGTCATGTTTCGTCCCCCTCCAAAACACATTCACTTATCTTGCGAAAACTAAGCGTTCGTCTCAAAACTCCACATTTTCAACAGAAAGTATGATTACCAGTCGGACAAATCACAATTATCCATCCTCTAAAGGTATTAATTACACTAATACACCATTTTTTTCTACTAAAAAAAATTACTGCTGGATATAGAAAATTAGAAATGCCCTTTTCCCGTGGGTCGTTGGAGAACTTCATTGGCATCAGCAACGCCATTTATTTATTTATTTATTGTCACTGGCGTACTCTTTTGGATAATTTAATTTAACCTTAACTTTAAATAGGTGAATTTTAAAGTGAGATTATTATTTTTCAGTGGCCTGGTCGTGCAAATTTTATATCCAACTTGTGCATTTTCAGTCGTTTTATTTGCAAATCTCCCTTGTTGAAAAGGCATGAGATGGTTATAAAATTTGTGCAACGCCATCACTAAACAAATGGTATCAATCACAAATCATGAATTTCAATTCATTTCTCAAGCCTTATATGGTGCAGGATTGTCTATTATCTAGTATTATGATATTGATTCATCTAAAAGAGCACCAAATGATACGGCATGTGCGATCATATATAATACTAATAGATTAAATAGCTTAATTGTAATAAAATTGAACGTTTTATAATAAATAACACTAAATGAATTGCACCCTCGTTTTTCAAAATCCACATGCAATGGAGGGATTAGTCTAGTTAATTATGCCAAAGAACTGTGAACATACTTTGACCCTTTTTTTTTAAGTCAACAATTAATATTAATAATTAATAATAAACGTAAATCACGCACCCATATATCAAAATAGGATATGAATATTGGACCTCACACACGCAGAGAGTTTTAGTGCTACAACTAGGACAATTAATCATTGATTACTTTGACTCATTGGAGCAAACTTCTTGTCAGATTTCTAAAATCAATTTTATTAATATATATATATATATTAATATATATATCATTCGTAATCTATAAATATTTTTTCTGATTTAAATATACAGGACACATGCATTACACAATGTAAATTTAGTCATGCCATCTATGGTTTGTCAATAACACAAGACACTCGTAATATATTTTACTCGTAATTTTATCCTCTTAAAATTAATTTTTAGTAAAAAGTTTTGCACTTTTTTTTTTTGGGTTACACAAGGCTAGCTAAGAGCTAGAAAAAGCAGAGACAGTTTTGCACATATTTTTGAAGAGCTGTAATAATTGTATTGTAATAGCTCAAGTCAAAACAAAACGGAAGCGAGCATGCACACACCTACCCAGCCAGCGCCCTGTTAGGCTGTTCCTCTCAGTCTCTGACGCCTAACTCCTAACGCCTCCACCTCCAACGACCACACCAAAAGGCCGCACTTTTATAATTTATTGGAGAGCTTTCATCGCCCCTTGACGGACTTTCCCACGCTTGTACCTTCATATATACCCTAAAACCTCTCTCCTTCCTTCTCTGTCTGTCTCATCATTTGATTCCCAACCGAATGGCTTCTTTAGCTCTGCACCCCTCCAAACCTCTCCTCAGAACTCCCTTCATCTCCTCTTCCCCTCTGCCCCAGTCTCAATCCTCCACCTCCCTCTCGTTTCCCACGCCTCTCAAATCGAGCTCTCTCGTCGTCCGGAGCTCCATCACCTTTGCATCCCCTTCTTCCGCAGTCGAGGTATCGAGGGAAAGCACCGTCAAGTCTGTCAAGGCCAGGCAGATTATTGACAGCAGAGGGAACCCCACCATCGAGGTTGATCTTGTCACTGACCAGCTTTATCGATCTGCTGTCCCCAGTGGGGCTTCCACTGGAATTTACGAGGCTCTGGAGCTCCGGGACGGGGATAAAAGCGTTTTTGGTGGTAAAGGAGTTCTCAATGCCGTTAAGAACATCAATGAAGTGTTGGGCCCCAAGCTTCTTGGTCTGGATGTTAGGTAAATTTGGATTCTGATGTGATGCCCCGAACATTGACGAAACTTCTTTGATTACTTTCAATTTATCTTGTTTTTGTTCGGCAAGTTGCGTTGATGCTGTTAGCTTGGATAAGTTGCACGTGACATGGATCTATCGATAACATGGTTCGAGTAGATATTCGTTTTGCGAGTATTTGATTTGTGTTCAGTTTATTAATTTGCATGTATTACAACTTGGAAGACTAATGTCGTGATGTAGCCTTGTATGAGAGGCTCCAGAAGAAGCATCATCATCCATAAATCGAATCCATTTTAGATGATTGGAGTAATTTTGAGCTAGAACAGATTTTCTCAATCCTTTTAAGGAGATCCCAACGACCATGGATAGAACCCATCCTAATTTTACAGGCCGATGGTTGGCTGTTCCGTAAAGTAATACTTTAGTGTTCATTATTGTAGAAATGAACTTTTATCCCGTCAAGAAATTGTGACTCTATATATTTGAAAGAAGGGCGGAAAATCTTGCTGGTATTCACCACAGATGCAAGTATGATCTGCATATATGCTGTAAAGTTTGACGTGTCTGTTTCTGTTGTACAAGGAATCAAGCTGATGTGGATGCTATCATGCTGGAAATAGATGGAACTCCTAACAAGTCTAAACTTGGGGCTAATGCAATATTGGGAGTTTCGCTGAGTGTGTGCAGAGCTGGCGCAGGAGCAAAAGGAGTTCCCTTGTACAAGCACATCCAGGAGATTTCTGGAACTAAGGAACTTGTCATGCCAGTCCCAGCTTTTAATGTCATAAATGGTGGCAGTCATGCTGGAAACAACCTGGCTATGCAAGAATTTATGATTCTACCAGTTGGAGCAACTTCATTTGCTGAAGCCCTCCGCATGGGTAGTGAAGGTTAGGAACTTAGTGCTTTATGACTACAACTACATTTTAACATGTGTGCTTTCTCATTATGGCATTAAACTGGATGCATTTGATACTATGTCTCTGCACATATTGATGCAAACTTCTATTCTGATGGCTTATTTTACTGTAGAGTTATATGTTTCATGATTACTTGAAATCTTGAGTTGTGGCAATTGATTTCCTCTTATTTATTCCACTGGTTACAGTTTACCATGTTTTAAAGGGAATAATCAAGGCAAAATATGGACAAGATGCTTGTAATGTCGGAGATGAAGGAGGATTTGCTCCAAATGTTCAGGATAACAGGGAGGGACTGGTTTTACTTATTGATGCCATCGAGAAGGCTGGTTACACCGGCAAGGTAGGCATTGCTTTCAATATTTCAATTTTTCTGAAATTTTAGGACTCACTTGATTGATTTAGAAACCAATACAATGATGCTAGATCAAAATTGGTATGGATGTTGCTGCCTCGGAGTTTTACACTAAGGATGGCAAGTATGATCTGAATTTTAAAAAACAGCCAAATGATGGAGCTCATGTTCATTCTGCCCAGAGTCTTTGTGAACTATACAAGGACTTCGTCAAAGAGTTTCCCATTGTGTCAATTGAGGATCCATTTGACCAAGATGATTGGGGCTCTTGGGCTTCGCTACTGTCTTCAGTTGATATTCAACTTGTAGGAGATGATTTATTAGTTACAAATCCAAAGAGGATATCAGAAGCCATCCAGAAGAAGGCCTGCAATGGTTTGCTTCTGAAGGTGAGGATACCTGTAGGATTTTTCTCTGTTGGGTCCAAAATGCATGTATGCACATGTATTACATTTTTCGCTTGAAGTTTCTTGCCTGTATTTACACCCAATCCTCTTCACAGCTTGTTTTAGATTAGTTTTATTAATCGGCTGTCTAATAATCCAAATTGATACATCAAGGTCCATGTGGCAGAACTAGTTGGAGACATGCCTTTGAATGCTTCAATTTGCTAATTATATTTTTATATTATTTGTCTGCAGGTTAATCAGATTGGGTCAGTAACTGAATCCATTCAGGCTGCTCTTGATTCAAAGGCAGCAGGTTGGAGTGTCATGGTTAGTCACCGTAGTGGTGAAACTGAGGATAACTTCATAGCTGATCTCTCTGTTGGTTTGGCTAGTGGACAGGTTTCCTATCCTGAACCTTCTGAACTCTACAGTAAAGTGTTTTATAATGTCATTGCATTGGTGTTCATTATCCGAGTTTTCTCTTCCAGATCAAAACTGGAGCCCCCTGCCGAAGTGAGCGATTGGCAAAGTATAATCAGGTAATTGAAATCATGTTTTACTTCTTCCTCTGTGCTTCGGGATTTTGGACTGTCTGTGGCATGACGTTGACAAAATACATTAAATGCTACACCAAATTAAAATCCTCTTAAATCTGAGCATTATCGGATTCTTTCATAAAGAAGGGCGACTACATTAAATACTGGTGCTTGGGGCTCGCTTGGTAAATTAAGAAGTGCGTACAAGCAGAACCAGGAATTCAAGTATTGATATGCATAGTCGGAAGAAATTTTCTCTGAATTTTGATGTGACTACTTGTAAAAGTAACTACTTGTCATTACAATCAATTTTCTCTGAAGTCAGAAGTTAAAACTCAACAGTCAGAACCATATGTAACTGCTTGATCAGACAGCATGAGTTGTCCAGAACACCACATCCGAATGCCTTAACTATTAAATTTCAATTTTGTTTAAACATAAGCAGCACCGTGTCTAGTAAGTAGTTTTTCAACTACGTTTTGTATATCAGTTTCTGTATACAATACAAAAGATAAGCGCTTAGCATTGTGACATTGTCCTTCAATTATGCTTTGAATTATATTTCAGCTTCTCCGCATTGAGGAGGAACTCGGAAGTGTGCGTTATGCTGGTGAAGCTTTCAGATCGCCTTAGGGTGGATGAGGAAGAAATTGTAGCGGAGAAAATCCAAAATATTTGGTTTTGCAGATGACCTTCAAAAGTAGTCAAGACATCTAATTGATGAATTAGCCCGAGAATGTGCTTTTTCTTTACCAAGTGAATAAGTTTTGCTTCCAACAACAGCTGGACCGTAGGGAAATTATCACGTGCAATTCTATCATGGATCATTTCCCAAGCTTAATAGCTGTAATTTTTTTTTTCCCCTTCCTTCGTCAACGCTTTGTTTGCAGCTTTTATACTCGCACTATTATGCACTTCTTTCATCGAAGAATAAGAGCTTAATTATAGATCTTGAAATTTAGGTCAAACTAAATCGGCCAATACAAAATATTTAGAGTCGAGCTGAAAAAAAAAAATAATAATTTTTTTAATATTCAAGTCTATTCAGACATATTTGAATAAGTTTTATAAAATTTAGGTCAAGCCCAATTGATACTCAAATAAAAAAATATTAAAATTTTTAAAAATATAAAATATAATAAAAATTAATTTTTTTTAATTTTTATGTCATTTTATATTAAAATATTATATATTTAAATGCATTAATATAATTATTGTTAAAAAAATAAAAATATTTATACTTTTTATTATTTTTAATTAATAAAATATCTCAAAATAATATTTAAAATATATTTTAATATTCAATTTTATATTTTAAAACTCAATTTTTTAAAAAAAAAGTTGAGACTTATATATTATTTGCATATCCAAAATATATTTGCAAAATAAGATAATTAATTTTAAAGTAAAAATAAAATTAAAAATAAAATTTGGGCATGTATGAATTCTCAACTTTGTTACTAAATAAATATAAAAATATTGTTGGATAATTATTTAGTTATTGTTCACGCCAAATATGGTTAAAAATTAAGAATTCAAGTAAATATCCCTATGTAGGAGTTAAATAATATAAAAAGTTAAAAAAAATAATTCCAAAAAAAAGTTTACTCATAATTAAATAATTTTATTTTATATAATATAATCATGTTTATTTTTCTCATTTTCTTAAAAATGACAAATGCAAGCCAAAAGTTATTAATAACTTTAAACTAATCAAGGTAATAAGTTTAAATTAATGGTCTAACAGTGATTAAATCGAGATTAACTTAATTATAATTAAAATAATATAATTTAATTAAATATATAATATTTATAATGACCATGATAAAAGTAATATTCATGAATAAATTATACATAATACACCAAACAGTGATAGAGTTATTTAAGTACAAAGTTAATAAATTATTATTTTTATTTTATTTGTTAAAGTTAAAATAATATTTTATGATTAAACAAAATTATTTAAAAATTAAAATTAATTTAAAAAACTTAAAATGTTTTGAGTATTCAAGCTGGACTTGACTATATATATTTTTTAAAAGAATATGATACTTAAACTTAATTCAAATTGAGCTCGACTTACTCGAATTATGAGAATTAAGCTAAGACGTGTTTATTCAACTAGGGTTTTCTCCCCTATTCTCTACATGACCAGTGTTTGCTTTGGCGGGGAAGAAAAGGATGACATATATAGCAGGCGGGTCGCGTGTAACATCCCAAAAATTAACTTAAGGTTAATTAAGTTAATTTAGAGCAAATGAGTAATTTTGAAGAAATATTTAGATATAAATAATTTTAGTTAGAAGATTATTATTGGATTTAATTTAGATTAAATCCTAAGTTATAATTTTATAGTAAATAGAAATAGTAATAATAATATTATTAAAAAGAAAGAAAGAAAGAAGGAAAAGGAACATAAAATAAATTGAAAATTAAAGAGGGGGGAGAGAAGTAATTTTTGCTTTGGGTATTTAGGTGTAAATAATGCCAAAAAAAAAGAGAAAAAAGGTGAGGCGGAACCGTGTGTGCATTCAAGAAAATGAAAAGAGAGAGAGAGGGGCGTGATTTCACGTGTGGGTCTCACAGTTTTCTTTTAAAAAGCAACAATATGATTCTTTTCTTTATTTCCTTCATTCTTTTTTCATTCCTTCTCGCGCGACAGAGAAAGCGAAAACAGAGACAGCGAGCGCGATGCCTACAACAAAGCTAAAGTAGAAAATAGAGCTCCATAATAGGATACTTCAGATGAGATTTTAAATATTTTAAGACTAGATAAGTGTTTTAAACATTTTTTTCTTAGTCGTTTTTCCCTTTAAGCTGCAGATTTTAAGATTTTTAAAAATTTAGGGTTTGAAATAGGGATAAATTTTTGGTAAAAAAATCTAGTTGTTGAGGTTGTTGGTAGTATAATAAATATTCTAGAGTATTATTTTATTGATAGAATTGGAATTTGAGGCATTTGAGTTTATCCCTAGATCCCTATAGGCAGATTTTTGATAAAATCCGAAAATATAAATTGATTTGTTGATATTTAGATAATTATTTGAGATGAAAAATGAATTATTATGGCTATAGAATAATGATTCTAGGTTTGAAATCAAGTTTGCAATTTTTGAATATTTTTATATGTGAATTTTTGAAATAAAAAGAAAAATTTTGATATTAGAAAATTATGTGAATGAAATTATTGTGAAGGAGACTATTGAACCTAGTAGATAAGTTCAAATACATAAAATTAAATTTTAGAACTCAAGAGGCTAAGACTAAGGTCTTAAAAATAAAATAAAATAAATACTTAGATGTTAGAGTATGAGTGAAAATTGTGTTAATAATATTATTGACACATTGAGATATGATCAATTGTAGATTAATTTCCTTTTGACACCATTCAAGCTTTGGAAAGCTTTGAAAGTGTTGTGTAACACACCAAATTTTTTTTTAAAATAATTTAACTCAATCATAGTTGGGTTACAGCCACCCAACACATTTTTTATATCAATAATTTCAATATAAAATATTTTATAATTGGCTTCAACTCACACAATATAACATTTCAGATAAATTTTTACCTCCCACATGCTATTAGGCTAAATCACATTTGTCCATCCTTATACTCTCAACAAGTAAACTAAATCATATTTGTCCATCCTTATACTCCCAACAAGTAAAATAAATAATTTAGTCAATTTTCAACACAAGCTAGTTATTTGGCCTCATAATCATGCCATTTTAACCAATCCAAAGTAAATCAAATATTAAAATTATAGTCATCCAAAGTATGCCAAAAATAGAAATAGTTTGAAAGGCATGATTACATTTATATATTCATATAATTGTCAATAAACAAAAAGCCCTAATATTGGCAATATAACACATTATAAATCATAAATCAAATACCCAAAAGAGATAGTGGATCTATGCCACTAAGCCTCTAGGACTCCTTCACGTGTCACTCGTGGCTCTTCTCCTGAAAATTGTTAACCACATAATGAGACTCAAAAGTCCCAATAACCAAAGCCAATTTATGATAGCACATACAAACAGTTAAGTGTGTGCTTACTAGGTGGAAACCAAAAATAATATAATTCCAACAAAATATAAGAAATATTACAATACACACAAACAACCATCCTTATATCCCTCCATTAACCTCGAGCCGTAGCCCTCACTCGGTGCTAAATTACCCGGCCAAAAGTAAATTAGCCCAAGCCCTTACAAGCCACCTATTGAGCTCCAATATGGGCGTATCTCGTGGCACATAAATACAACAACAATAGCAAGTCTCCCAAAACCTCCCACAATAATCAAACAAATTCATAATAATATTGCACAATATACAATATTAAAAAAATTCATAATTTTCTCAATAATCACCCAATTAACATAAAATAACACTAATCACAAATTAAAAACATGGTTACCTCGTGGCTTTTTTAATAAATTATTCCTTACAATTTCTCTCCCACCACAATCTTCACCAATAATACAATCTACAAATAACATATTATATATAAATATTAGTTTCAATTTTTGAAACTAATAAAATAATTCTAATAATAGAATTAAAAATATAACATAATTTCTAATCTCAATCTTAATACAAATCTAGAGTCAACACTATTAAGTAAAATTTTTAACTCCTCTTTTAATTATGAATAAACATTAATAATCTAAAAATCAACTTCTAAACTAATTTCTATTATCAAAATTTTCTTTTTATTTCATAAATTCGTACCTAAAATATTCAAAAATTAAAAATTGAGTCTCTAGCTTAGAATTATAATCCTATAACCATAATAATTCATTTCTCATCCTAAATAATCATCTAAACCTCAATAAATCAACATATATTTTCAGATCTAGTTTAGAATTTGATCCATAAGCCACAAATTCAAATATCATCAACAAATTTATACTCTAAAATATTTATTATACTACTAACAATCTTAAAAATCATATTTATTCAACATAAATTCATCCCTCTTCCAGATCTTAAATTTTCTACCACTACAAACTCCAAAACCAAAGAAGAAGGATGATTAAGAAAAAATTTTAGAACACTTACTTAGTCTTAAAAAACTTGAAATCACACCCTAAATATCCTATTAAAAACTCTTACCTTAAAAACTCAGATCTCCCGCACCGGCGACTCACACTCACTCTGCCTCAGCTCGCGCACGAAGGAATGAATAAAGAAACGAAGGAAACAGGTGAGTTTTTATAAAAATTCAGTGGGTCTCATATTTTTTTTATTTCTTCTTTCCTCTCTCTTCTTCTCCTTTTTGTTTTATTATTTTATATGTAATCATGCGCCGAAAGCCACCGATTGCGTTTTCTTCTTTCTTTCCTTCCTTTTCTCATACCTTTTCTCTTTCTTTTTGTTTATAATAATAATTTAATAATATTTATTTATTTATTTTTTAATTAATTAATATTTTTTTAATTAATTTTTTTATTTTAATTTAGAATTATATCCTAAATTAGATTTAATAATCATTTTCTACTAATTTGCTTACCTCTAAATATTTTTCAAAATTTCTATTAACCAAAATTAACTATTAAAATTTAAATTGGAATGTTACATGTTGTAACTTGAGGGGTAACCTTTAACTTCAAAGGTTACGGTAATCGGGAGAAATTTATTTTATGCATTTGTATATTAATTAATTATGTTGGTGAAATAAAAGAATATATATATATATATATATGTCTAAATTTTCAAATGGTTGTTTGTAAAGCATGTGGCTTTTTTGAAACTCTATGACTTGTGACCAAGTTAATTATGACTTGGTGTGAGTAATGAGATTGATGGTTGATGATTATGTGTACACTCTTAGATATAAGTTGTGGATTATACACAG